CGATATGTTTAAATTTAGGTTTAAATTGTAAATGATTAACATTTCAAATCTTATCTCAATTATTATTTTCATTAGTGAAACAAAAATACAACACTTGTCAGAGTCTGCATATTGGATACTCTGTAATGATATTTTTGTAAAGAGTAAAAATAAGGACTTCGTAGAGCAGTTAGCAGTTCCTTAAACCGATAAGGAATCTTTGTTTGTAAGGATTTTTATGAAGTTTAGAATCCGACGAAAATAGAGTAGAACGAACCCATCTAGGTTTACAAGAATATTAGAAGTTTTCAGCACTAAAAGATAATCTTTAGAATGGTAATTGTGAGTAAACGTTGGTTTTCCAGATATAAAATGAAAACCAAGATTAGATAAAATACATTTTAGTACATGTCATGAGCTTTACAAAGACTCTTTTGTTAAAAGCCTTCTCAGCTGGAACTGAAGCATATTGTTAATTCTTATAGAGATTTACAAAAAAAAACGTATTACTGGTACACAAGCCATTTAAAATACATTTGGTAGTGAATAATACCTAAATATAGTTTATTTATTATCGTCAAAATTAAGCCAACTATATACAAAAATGTAGCAAGAATTTGATGTATTAAATGCTTTAAAAAAGGCCATTCCCTTTAAATTGATGAAAAACTTCGGGTATTGTTTTACCATATAAATATGTTGTATTAAAAGTTGTTTTTTCTCCACGAAATACCTACATGATATATATAATACCCTTTAACTACCCTTTATTTTAGCTTCAAAATAATGCTAACAGTTAGTAACTATGTTAAAAGTCAAAACGAAAGCAGATTCTGAGAGAATTTCCAAAGTTTAAAATAAACATTGAAAATTTCCTGTTTATCAAGGAACATGGATTCCAGCAATGCCTTACAGAAGTATGAAATAATTTACTCAATCATTTGATATAATCTTGTAAAATATGTTTTAATTTAGGTTTAAATTGTAAATGATTAACATTTAAAATCTAACATCAATTATTATTTTCATTAGTGAAAGAACAATACAACAATTGTCAGAGTCTGCAAATTGGATACTCTGTAAAGCATTTGGAACTCCACATCAGGTAGCCATGAGGAGAGATATGTTGGATGTTTGGAATTTGGTGAAAACGAGCTACAGGGGAAGTGACACGCAGAAATGCCATTTCAGCGGGAGTTTTGCAGAAGGATTCAGACTTAATAGCTCTGATATAGACGTTATGAGATATTTCTTCAACTATTATTTCATAGGGACAAGTCGATGTCACTTTGTAGCAAAAGGGCACAAACTAGGGAATCACGAAGAGAGTGAATGGATGATATCATTCTCTTTGGCGGAAGAAAAGCTTGTGCATTCGATGAATCACAGCCAGTTTTTAACTTACGGTTTTTTGAAACTATTCTTGAAAGAGGTTATTAACCATGAAGTAAAAGAAGCAGATACATTACTGTGTTCCTATCACATGAAGACCGTTATTTTCTGGGTGATTCAAGAAACAAAAATGTCACAATGGCGTCCACAAAATATCCTGCAATGTTTGTGGGTCTGTTTTAAATTTATTCTTAAATGGGTGTATGAAGGAGTGTGTCCTAACTTTTTTATTCCAGAAAACAACATGTTTTTGTCTAAAATCCACGGTCATTCACAAGCAATTTTATTCTGCAAGCTGTATACATTTTATGAAAAAGGTATATCATGCCTATTTCAAAGTCCCTTCCTCAGGTTCTATTTAAGAGATGTATTATATGACATATTAAGTATTTCTAAATGTATCGATGTATATTATCAGATTTCTGAGGCTGATTTCGATAGAGAAATGTTTGCAGTGATTTCTGTACATGATCTACCATATTCACATCTGTACTCTTATATAGTGGACCTGCACCAAATAACACGACTGAAAGATGTTTCCTTTACAAAGTATCAAGTTCCTATGTTGCAATATTTCACAACAGTAATCCTCCAGCGAATCGCCTTTCTATTATATAATATCCGTATAGGTTCAAATTTAAACAACGTAACCTTTCGTAACGCTAAAAACAAAGACATTTACTTTTCAAGCAAAATGACCTGTCATATGCTAAAATTAGTTATCAAGTTTGGCTGTATGTCTGATACGTTATACCTTGTCATGCATTTTTACCAGACATGCCGATTCAGAGAAGCTTTGTTTATTACAAAAATGACAAAAATCAAACTAGGACAACCACATCTGATAAATGATTTTAAGGTTGACTCAGAGAGGTATAAAAGGGCTGTAGGAGGACGGTCCTGGTCAACAAAACTGAGGCAAGCTGTTGTAGATTATATAGTACTAGACAATGAGGTAGTTTATATCGGTGAGTTAGTTACAGAGCAAAAGTCTGCTTTACAGAATGGAATGACAATGTCATTTATTCCACCCATGGTACTTATACTTTTGCTAGAGTTCCTATGTTACAGACATGTTGATACTGTTGGTGCTCAAATAGCTCTAAATGATCTACTCGTCCTCGTTCACTTTGATCAGGAAACACATATACCCCGGCGTGTAAGAGACATATCCTGGCAGATCCTGGGGATCTGTCAGCAGATTACAGGGGACCTCCAGGCTGCCTTATACTCCTACGAACAATCACTCCGACAATATCGTCAACATCAAATACAAAATGCAACAATTAAGAGAATAAAGAGTATCAAATTGTCCAGTCGTCGTGCTATTAGTACGTCCCTATGAGTAATAGTCTTATTCAATTATCAAGGTAGTGTACCATTAAGATATTTAATGTATGTGTATGTCATAACGTTACATTGTGAATATATACAAATCATGTACATAATTGTGATAATAAAGATAGACTTATTTGGAATTTAAAATTCAAGAAAATATATATGCAATACATAAATTTTAAACTTGCCAATTTCAATGAACAATATTTTAGTATATCCAGCAAATACAGATTAGTATTGCCACATTGATGAGAATACAGGGTATCATATTTTCCATAGAATATAAACACTCAGATGTGGCGATTGTCTGAAATTATAAAGTAAATAATGCTTGTTTATGTTTTGAAATTCATAATGACTTTTGGTGAATTAGATTAAAATCATCATAATCATTAGTGAAATCCCTTTTTAATAGTTTTAATTCAATTCATCAAAAATATTGCCGTTTACCATTAAAATATTTAATGTATTTATGTGAAGAACGTTTACATTGTGAATATATACATTCATGTACATAATTTTCGTGATAATAAAGATAGACTTTTTTCATGGTATGGATTTTTTTCCCTAAATCAAAGAAAAATATATATGCTATACATAATTTTCACACTTGTCAATTTCAACTCCTTGGGCTGAACAAAATTTTAGTTTATTCCAGAAATAGACTTTAGATATATTAAGCAAATCATCAGATTTTTGTTTCATACCCTAATCAGTCTTTATATCGGGTTTAGTTTTGAAATTATCTTTTAATATAAACTCTCCAATTAATTAGGTGAATGCCACTTGCAGATTTAGTCTGAAATATATACACAAATGAATAAATAAAATTTTTATGTTTTGAAATTCATAAAACTGGTTGGTGAATTTACTGTTCAAATTTCTGGATAACCATTGCCTTGTGATTATCTGTGTAATGTTTTGAATTTGGTCATTCATTCATCATAAAATATTAGCCGTTTACAGCATCTGAAACCTTCAATTCAATTAGGACTTTTTTGAAGAACCATGCCCTTTAGATCCATTGGAATGCACTGACGAGAATCAACATTCTGTAATCTTATTGCTCATTTTCGTGTCATGGCTAACTAAGTACAAAGATTTTTTCCTTAACACTTAAATCAAAAGAAAATTCAACTTAAAATGTGTGGAAAAATTCAAGAATTTTTAACCTATTTATTGTGTGCAACCACCTGTAACTCATTGGGCGTGTTTATTATTATTGGAAATTTCAATTCCAAATTGCATTTCCAGAAGACCAGACTTTTGATATATTAGGCAATTTATAATATTGTTTTCCATACCTTGATTAGTCTTTATATCAAATTTTCTTTTAATATAAACTCCCCAATTAGCTGGGTGAATACCAATGGCAGATTTAGAGTATTCAAAACATACATAAGATGAATAAATAAAATTTTTGGTGTTGCCGTGGGATCCACCCCGACCCTAAACTGGTCAGTTCCCCTGTTGAAGATTTCTGGATTTTTCCACCTTTTTTCTGAATGCCTTTGATTTAAAATGCAGGTCGTTCCAATAAAAATCAGGACAAATGAGCATGGTCTAATTCATTATGAAAATATAACACGTAATATCGTTTGCATTTAAACTCTCTTTTATCTCAAATTTGAGAATTTTCAGCTGTATAATTCGAACTGCATGCTAACAGAAGTTATTTTAAGGGAATCCTTGGCATAACTTTCGAAAATAAACAAGAATTTTATTTAGAAATGAGCAAGAAATAGTGAAATGCACAAAGGTATACAAAGTTTGCTAAAAGTAGAAGTTTCGGCACCAACAATATTATGTTCATCAGTAAATAAATGTTTTACATTTATGTATGAAAAAAATAAAACATGAGAAAAAGTTATGAAAAGTTTGCTTGACATGTAAAGAATATTTCAGTTTCTTATCTAAAACGTGGGCCTTGAATCATAAATCGTCTGTTTGATTATTCAATTACTTTGTCATTTTTGTTCTGTGAAATGCATATAAGTCCATAGGTCATACAATAATACAGTTAATACATTTGCTATTGGTTGAATAACTTACAGTTGATTTATGTATACAGCATTGTACTTTGGACGTATGTAATGAAGGATATGGAGATAACGAACAGTATTCAATATCAAAGTGCATAAAATAAATAGGAGCAGAGCAAATACGGACCTCCAAAACATAAGGTACCATGGAGCAGTGAGCATCCCCTGCTGACCAGTTACACCCGCCGTGTGCTCCTTGTCATTATCGGGAAATAACGGGAAAATCCGTCGTCAATTCAGGTAATAAATAATGGACTAACAATAAGTATGAAAAATATCATTTAACATTTGACTCTTTGGTAAACTGTATTTGCTGACAAGAAATTACGAAATGATGACTTTATGCGAGATCGCTGATATTCTTGTTTCATCAACTTGTTTATCAATAATAAAAGATTTCTTGTGTAAATATAAATGATATTCATAGGTACAAGTCTTTGATATTTACATCTTTTTAAATCATTTATCCTTCTTTCTTCCATTCTCGGATGGTCCACTGACTCCCTCATCCTAAGAAATTAATAAAAAAAATTCAGTGCTAAAAGATAAATTATCAACAAAACATCTACATGGAAGATTTTTACATTTTTCGTACTCAGTCCTCCCTTCATCAATTTTTTTCTCAGTCACATCCTGTTTCGGTTAGAAGCTTATCTTTTGTAGCATTTTATTAACGCTCAAATAGACATTTCAACGCAAATACATGTTTGGCTGAAAAGCTCTTATTAGCGTGTTATAAACGTAAAGAGGTATATCAGTGTTTCAATAAATGTACTTTTTTGTTGCATACAATATACATTATATACACCATGTATTTTAAGTTTACAAAAAACAGCTGAAATGTGCAAAATTTTGTCGATTCTTTTGTACCTGAGTTGCATTGTTTTAATTAAAGCTACATGTACCTCTTTTGCATAGTCTTTAGGGATAAGAAATCAAAACAGTAAGATCTGGACACTGACTGGTTTATTTACTAGTGCAGTACTGAAAAGATGCTATGACAAAATGAATCACCTATCAATTATCCGTTTATAAATAAATTATCAGAATCAACAATAAGCTATATTTTTAAAATATTTTCCTAAATTGTATCACGTAATTAAAATCACCTGCTAGTTACTCCCGACTATCTATATATTTGTAGACACGCAGTTTCGTGCTGTTGTATGATCCGATCCAGAGAAGGTTGTTTCTCTCGTCATAACTTAGAGTGTGCGGTTCGACCATGCTTTCTCCTTCCCTCAGTAGATACGACAACAAAAAGTGGCCATCCCTGTCGAGTATATGTACTGACTTGGTCTTCATATTACAGACCAGGATGTTCGACAGTGTGTCTGTGCAGTTTCCCCATGGCGAAAACCGTGGTTCCGAATGTCCTCTGTAGGAAAAGCGATGTTCTCCTTCGCGGTTTGTTACCACCACGCGGTGCCAATCAGACACGATGATATCCCCATTACGGTTTTCTGAAAGATATCCAGGATATTTGTACAACAACTCGCCATTGTTGTCATACTGGATCGTTTGAACTTGTTGTCCATTGCTGTTGTATCGAGTTATCTTTCCTTTGGAATTTCGTTCATCTGTATGTGATTTATGTGTCCCAACTAGTAGATCTCCAGTTGATGGGGAACAGAGGACAGACATAGGTTTCCACGATTTTTCTAGTTTTATCAATTCAATTCTTTCTTTTTTGTCCTTGCTCATTTTTTTGATATGAAAGTCCTTACTTATATAAAAGAGTGTCCCATCATTGGCCACCGTGTGTACTTGATAGCTTTGTGATATATCACTCAGTTGATAAGAAATAACACCACATGTGTCTGTTAGGATGAGGTTATAGCCATCACTGATCCAAATTTGGTCTGGTGCTACGTAGAAAAGATAATGACAAAAACGTCTTACATCCAAAGATGTCTTTAATGAAGGATGAGGCATTAGTGTCAGGGGCTGCTCATTTTCTCGATCTTCATTCATTCTCAATATCAACACTTTCTTCTTACTCTCCTCGAAAAACTGAAAATACATTTCAGTTTCATTGTTCAGAGTTTGGAAGGAAATTTGGTATTTAAAAAAATGATTATCTCTGTTCATTTATATTATTCATATCGTTATTTCATTAGTCTGATTCGGGTCATAATAAAGACATCTGGTCTTTATTTGTTGGGTACAATATATAGATAAAAGCTTTGATAAGAGACTACATTGGACCTTCAGATATCCGGGCCCGAGATATCCGGAAGCTTCAGTATCCGGACAATTTTTCATCGGAACGGAATTTTTTTTAAAACTTTATTATATTTTGTTTAACTGGTAATTCAGGTATCCAGACGCTTCACATATCCGGACAAATTGACTAGGAACCAAAGCGTCCGGATAAATGAGGCTCCACTGTAGTTTGAAATCATTTATCAAATGAATAAATACGTTTTTTAATGTCCATATAATTTGGATTTTTTCCAAAATAGTTATATCATCACATGAAACAAGAAACAAAGAAATAAATTTAAAACAGACAAACTCTGAAAACTCAATTTTAGGGATGTCAACGAATATTCGAATATTCATTCGTTGAGTTGATATTCGAATATAAATTGATGATTCGAATATTCGTTTTTAAATATACAAGCATTAAAAAGAGAGAAAAACCTGGAAAGTTTTATCAGAAATTGAATCGTTTGTACAAAATCAAAAAAAAAAAAAAAAAACACTCCTCTTGGATTACCTTAAAGGAGTGAAGTGTGTATCTAAGAGTAGTTTATTTATTTGTTCACTTAATTAGTGGTATCATAGTGTCCAGTACTAACAATCAGCTTGTATTGTTTTAAGGACCCAGTTTTACAGTAAACACACAGATTTCTTGTTTATCTAAATATCATTAAAAATTATTATCAGGAAATTATAATCATCAAAAAGTAATTGTTTTTTAATATTTCACCGTTAGATAATTGTTCTGCTTGGTATAAATTTGTACGAGTTATCAGTATAGACTTTAGTAAGACGATCAATTAATCTGGAACATACTAAAGAATCTTTTGAATTTTCAAAAAAACAATCATTACATTTTGGATGTATACTATTCAATGATTTAAAAAAATACATAATTGTAGTTAATATTTTGAACTATACATGAGTTTTTTATTCAAAATAATGGCAAAAAACCTATACTGTTTGACAGGAGAATGACGATATATATTTAATAATGCAAGATGTATTTATTTTATCGAATATTCGAATATATTCGAATACTCCTATCGAATATTCGAATATCAATTATTGACAATTTTGACATCCCTACTCAATTTATATCAAAAGCTCTTATACCAGACATTCATTTCAAACCCCACCTGTAGATGATTCCTGGAAGATAAATTCTGAAATTTGACGTCTACGTCTACGTGTCATAATCCACCCTTAATAAATAATAAATCTTTCAAAGTTTGATCTTGAAATTATTAAACAGGCATTGATTGAGATGTAAATCCTTCCTCTATCATACGGCAAAGACATTGAAGACATTAAAAGATAAAACTAAGATCAAGTTGGTAATCTTAAACACATGTACAATATAAGGGCTGTTTGATTTACACAAAAATATCTCTGTCGCTATAAGCGATTTAAATGGGCAATTTCATTAAACTGTTTTTAAAGATTTTTATTCATTTTTCCTTCCTCAAATTCAACGTCAGCGAAAAAAGGAATTGAAATTATGTGAAAATAGTGCCCTCTCAAACCGGGATTGTTTAAAATATGTCATTAATTGGTAGAGCATCATGCAATATAGGAATTTAATAGCTGATAAACGGACAAATAAACAGGCAAAAATTAGCTTTTTTAAAAAAATAATTTCACACCAAAAACCCATTCAAGTAAAAAAAAAATCTTAAAATTTAGTGTTTAACAATTAGAAAAAAACAGACGAGACACAATGATAAAAGGAACTTTTATTTTTCTTTCGTATTATTTACAAATGAAAGGAAGGGATTTTAATAAAATAAAAAAAATCTGTCAATATTTACTTACCAGGTCAGTTTTCCTAACTCTGTAAATTGCAAACTTGAGAATGAAACTATAATCTTCTTACCTACGACCTCCGCACTCCTGCACTTTAAACATAACTAAAACTAAACCAAGAGGCTTTAGAAATACATCTTAAATATTGATTTCATTGTGCATTATCGATTGAACAAGGGTTTTGTGACGTATTACGTAATTTAAGTATTACCCCCGATGGGTCATGATATGAACAAACGAATCTTCACTACTTGAGAAAGCCTCCATTTCTGAATGACTGGTCATGATTTCTTTATTTTTGAGAAGTTTATACCTATATTTTATTGTTAAAATTTGATCTTCGATTGCGGATCCATCCTACCCCCTGGGGGTAAAAATTTAAAACGTGAATCTGCAGAAACTAAAGATGCTTCCATTACACAAAAATCTAAACAGGGCTTTGCCTTTCTTGAGAAGAAGAGTTTTCCATTTTTCCCTACATGTATTCATTTTTATCAAAAACGTTGATCCCTCATTGTGACCCCTCCCTACCCCCGGAGTTCATTATTTGAACAAAATTGTGTTACGGATTTTTCCCATGACCAAGATAACCCACATATTGGATAAACCCAATTTATGTCCAGAATATTTAATCTAGGTATCGTAAATTTATTTGTAGATATCATGGGAATATTACCAATCATTGTATGTCATTAATGTATGCTTTTTAATTCATTGTATATGTTTATTTCATGAATATCGTTTCGTTGTAAAGTAAACCCCAAGGTATGGTAACTATCGGTTTATTAACATATAGGTTACAAATATACACTGTATACCGGGGTGGGTCCTGGCCCGGGTTGAGACTCATCGACTGTCAAATGCGTCTGTCTTTCTTGCCATCCTCGGTGGAAAAAAGGTCCGTGCGACTGTCCCGCCATCTGACGTCACCTTGTCAGTAGGTCGTACCACGGGAGAGTCGCACAGATACTACACTCCCCCCCCCCCCGTTTACTTTGATAGGCGTAGGTCGTCACTGGGGGGAGGGTCCGGGACCATCTCCAGCGATGGGGCGCTATTAACGCCCGCCCGGGCAGACCGCCCAGGAACAATAAAGACCGGGGCAAGCCCCAGATAAGGCACACTCAGGAGAATTCCTGAGTAAAGGGGGTTCGGGATTGCTCATAGTTGCAAGCAATGTCCTAAGTCCGGGATAATTCCCGGATAATGAGAATGCTGAACAGTACTGGGGTGAGTCTAAGTCGGCTGACTCACTCACCATTTTTGCACTACTGTGAGGGTCACCCTCCTAGCTCTAGGCCACAATTGAGGCATCTCCATGGTGACAATGCCCCCAGTGATGGTTCCAGGTGGAGGCCAGGAGGGGGCAGAGTCTTCCTCAGGACGGGGGATCTCTTCAATAGAGGAGGTCTCCTCACTGTCTGTGTCCTCCTGGGGATCCTCCTCAAGGCGGCGGACAGGAACGAGGGCTGCTGAAGGGGTGGGCTGGCGCCACACACATCGGTCAGAGGGTCCGCGGGGAACACCGGGAGGCAAGCTCATCCCAAAACTAGTGACGATTTCCGATCCTACGTCTATTAAAGGCTGTAAGGTATGCCCATCGGAGACGGGGAGACAGGCGCTGCAAAACGTGGGCATGGGCTCTCCAGTGCAGCAGCAGGGCGGGATGTAGTGGGCCCGTCTTAATGTACACGGCCGGGGGGGATTCCCCGACGTAATAGCATAAGGCATCCATGGCCTGGACTAGGTCTTGTGTGGCGAGGCTATTCCTATCCGGAAAGACTGCCTCTCCCCGGATACCATCCGCCAGGTCTTGAACATACCCATCCTCGCCCAGGACCTGGTGGGCTAACCATCCGAGGGCCTCCATACGTAGGGCGGAGACCTCCGGGGTAGGGGGTCCCCCTCGTCGAAATACGGCGGGGAGGTGGTACCGCAACATATGGTCCCTTAACTTCCTCGTCATAGCCCCACACAGAAGGGGGCAGGGAGAGGGAGGATGCTCCCTCCTAGCTCCCCTATCTCTGCTCCTATGGGAAGTGGGTTGGGGTCTATGAGGCCTGTTTGGGGCCCGGTTGGATCCATCAGGCCCTTCGGAGGGTGGTGGCGATGAAGGCTAAGGGGTATGTCTAGAGTATGGCTGAAACACAGGTTCTGGACACTCCTGACGCCCCGGGGGTGAGGGCACTCTCCTCTCAGGGGACGACCCAGGGGACCTCTCCTCCCATTCCGGGACCCGTTGGTTGTACTCGGAGGGAGGGCGCTCCCTCCTCACAGGCGACTCTGCCTCATCTGATGATAGGTCAGAAAACTGACCCTCCACTGGTGAACTGCAAAAGAAAGCAGACCCCACATTAGCTACCCGCCCCCCCCCTACAGTCTGGGCATATGTACTGATCCAGGGAGGAAGCCTCCTGGGAAGTGACCCCCACACAAACCCCATGAAACTAACTGTCACACTGATCACACTGGATCACGAGACCCCCATCCTCTGGTTTACGACAGAAACAATACAATTCTGAGTCAGTCAGCTCCCCATCTGATGACTTGGGAGAGGGCGACCGTACCTGAAGCGTGCGCCCCCGTTTTCTCGGTGCACGGGGAGGGCTATCAGAGGATGAACTCGGGTAGGAAGGCCCAGGGGCCTCACTCAAGGGAGCATCCCCCTCTAGCGATGGGGCTCCACTTACGTCACTACTTTCCTGGGACTTGGTTCTAAACTTCTCTTGATACCGGGACAGCCACAAGGGTATGTCCTGATCTACACACTTCTTCAATCGATCATGGTTGACAACCATCACAGTGAGCTTGGTCTTGACTCGGTAAAGGTGGGAACTCAACTTCTTCAAGATAATACCCGGTCCCTTCCACGAGGGGCTCAACTTCCTGCACTTCCCCTTGACAGTGGCTGTGTCAAGGACATAAACCAGGTCTCCCTCGTTATAA